ACCGAAGCAGGACGACATTACTGGGTGCGTTGTGGACGTCACGATATCGGCGGCTCTGATCATTCTGCGTGTCGGCTAGTGGTCGTCGATCGATTTGGCATTGCCACCAAACCCATGGCCTTTCGTTGTTCGCTCCTGACCGTTCTCTGACGTGTAACTTAGTCCGATCGGCAGGAGTGTGTCGAAAGGCACCGCCGAGTCGTGGCTGAACAAAACAAAAATAAAGAAAGAAAACCGAGTGGCATAATGTTGAAAATGTCACAATATTATGGCGCAATTTTCTTTTCCCAAGCGACACATTCCGCATGTGACATGATTCACATGAAGTGCCCATTCTTTGCTCCGCTATTGACAACTACAATGCCGTCACGCTGGCCCACGACTAACCTGTCTGTAGCATCCTTTTCCAACCGGAATGATGAATTTTATAAGTCAGTGGGTAAACGCCACGATGAATAAAAAAAGAGCAAGTTTTGCTGTATACACTCACATTTAGCATTCGCTGAACATGTACAAACGGCTACCCTGTATACTCAAGGAAGTGTTGCCATCTGTTAACGGAGGAATAAAACAAATACATGCCTACACATTCAGTCAGATTTGCGTTGCCGCCGTTCGCTCAATCTGTTTTCTGTCGTCCTCCAAAGGTAAGATATTTGTTTCGTATTCGTGTCGAACAACTCTACTCTGACACACGGGTACTCTGCCGTCGTTTAGCAATAAATCGATTAGGTGAATACTGTTGAGCAGATGCTCGAGGGCCTTGCGGATCGCCGTGAAGTCGCCCAGTAAGTCTTGCTCTTGTTAGATGCTTGATGTGAACGTATACGTTATTTTGAGAGGTTATAGTATTGCGTTCCCAGGCCGCAATTTCCATGCCGCTCTTGAAGTCTCCGGTGCATAATTCTGACGTCACAATACCGTGTAATTGATGCGTTTAGTGATCTTTTGGTGTTCAAAATGTCTTCCACGCATATTTTCCATCGTGAAGCCTTGTCGCTCACTCATTTCGTGCGTTCACTTACTCGATATCTTACTTTAATTTAGTTAAGAGAGTCATTGAGTTCGGTGCGTTGCGTCTGTCTTTTCAAAGCCGATAACTTCCGAATGTTACTGGCCACAACACGAGGGCCGTGAGCTGACACATTCCCACTGTGAAGAAAATAGAAAACAGTGAAGTTTTTAGGGAATACCTCCGTCACTGTAGTATGCGCTTGATCGAGAAGTTTAATAGGTAACAAGGCTTCTTAAAAAAAGAGCACTGGCTTCAACACTTACTGGCTGAAACACATGCTTCATCACTCATTGACTGACTGACTGTTACAGTGATGAAATGCGCTGATAGTACTTGCGTGTGCTTGTTCCATTCAGTTCTCGAGCCCGGGTTGCGCGAACCATTTTGCGAATTCTTGTCAATAGACCTCTACCGGGGTACGTTACAGCGTGACGTCACTGATGCACGTGAATAGGCGGTGGTTGGCAAAACACTCCCGCTGGTGGCTGAGTGGGGTGCTGTTGCTCGGTACTTAGGGCATCTTTTTTTCTTTTTGAGAGCTTAATCATCTCACAGTGGCAACATTAGCTGTGGCATGTGTCAGAAAACATCTAGATGTGTGATAAAGTGCGTGATGAAATATACCCCCCCCCCCCCCCCGTTGGCTGGCTGTTTGTTGTTGTTGCTGTTCACCTATTGTTAGTGGCGCATACCCACTATGGGGGATTGGCCAAGAATCGAGTGGCTTTAAATATTACTGTTCAGATTGGGAATAATTGAGGTATAACAGAAAGATTACCGATAGCCTAGGAAAGTGTGGTGCTTAATGTAATGCATACAAATATTTACATGAACGAATTCATTCTTAGAATAGAGCAATAATCTGATTTTATACGTATATAATAATGTGGACATGTTAGGATAATGAAACTGGTTAATTAGTCAACCTCTTAGTTTCATCAATATAGTCCCGGACGGCCGCGCACACTGTCGCATTAGAGAAACCAGAAATGGAAGCTCCGAAAGACAAAATGACAGGCAGAGATAAGTCCATACCAATACCACGTAAAGGTATTTCTAATAGGGTTTTTCGTAATGTGTTAAACCGCCTGCAGGTCAAAAATAAATGGTCTATTGTTTCCAGTTCATCGCAGAATGCACACAGTGGCGAAGGTGCCGGAGCAGACCTGTGTTCATAGAAATTTAGGTTTGGTACCCGGCAACGCAGCCTTGTGATAGCTACTTCTTGTTTTCGAGTGTGGCAAAAGTCTCTTCGCCAGGGATATAATAAATAGGGATATTCTGTAGAGTTTGTTAGTGCTGAACCTTTAAAAACTTGCATAATCGCACGTCTGCGGAATCGAGCAGCAGTCACATAAGCGGATGATGGACAGAGCGGTAGAATTGGTTCGCTGATTGACGACTTAGCTAAGGAATCGGCTATTTCATTTAGAAACAAACCTTTATTTATCTACGAGAAGTGAACAGATTTGGCGGCCTGTGCGAGGAACAGCGGCATCTTCTTCGAAAGTGTGCAGTGTTGACTGTGGCATGTAGTGTGTGTTTAAAGGCATCGACAATCTTCACCGACGGTAAAAGTGGGAATATTGTGCATGGTGTGTGCAGTGTGAATAATGCGATGCGTCCTGTTGGCGAAAACACTAGTATTCGTTGTGGGCCGCTTTCAGTAACCGATTGTCGATGGAACTTTACGATCTGACATTGTAGTCAAGGTAAAAATACATTCGACGCGATCATCTATGAGTAGGTACATCTCAGCGTATGTGCGGCGTGCATAAAAATAAAAGTGCATGATCTCCTGGAGATGTATACGACTACGCATGAGCTATAAGCATGTTGTAGCGTTGCCGAATCTGCATATACGCTTCGCCACGGCTATAACTCGTAATATCGGATACGTGATACGTGTTAAATGCAACAGCAGAGATTTTGGTTTCTTATCTACTTTGTACTTTTACGGCTCGATCCTTATGAAGTGACAATGCGCGTTAGAAGTTTGTGTATCAGGCCTAAAGGAGCGAAGGTACGAAAACACGTTATAGGTGTCAAATTCAGGCAAGGTAACTGTGCCAGATAATATCATACAATATTAAGATGTCGGGTTTTACATCACACAAATTTTCACTGGGCTATTGAGAAACGCAGCGGTAGAACTTCCTTTTGATTTTCACGAGGATATGTTAACCTCAGCCTGACCCATGGCAAGAAGTTTTTTTTTTCATTCATTTCTGATGAGACTTTTGGGCAATGAGTGAGAATCTTATCCGTGATGTCGTGCACAGCAGCTCAAAACCATGCTGCCGCATATGCCGTACCTCGTTTAAAACTGCATTGCACGTGCCACAATGAAAATTGAGTAAGTTTACATCCATACCATGCAAGTATTTCTCAAAGTGCCAGTAATGGTGTACATTCAAAACGTTCACTATCGAAAAAGATCAGATTTTTTATGTATGGCTACCATCTACGTGGGTGAAGCCCACTGCGTGCTACTCGCATCTCTCAGTACTCTAAACAAAGTTTCTCCATCCAACTACGATGAGCAAACTCCCACACTATGAGCAGTGACCCTTCCGCGACGCCCTTCTTTCAAAAGCTGTGACTTTAGAACATGGCAATGTAGAAATTTCTGTCGAAAGAATGCAGACACGCAGCTCTGCTATGCATAAAGATGCTGCCGAAGGAGCTTTCTTGCCAACCAGCACCTGATCCAAGAGAGGGTGTAGGGAGTGGGGTGCCCGCAGTGATGTCACACACAAACAGGGAGAGGTCTATTGCCAACCCGCATAGCTGAAGCGTAGCAAGAGGGGGGGGGAGGGTGTTCAACAATTTTTGCCCAAGATCTTGAATTTCAATTGCGTATATATATTGACATACATTCGAACACGCGCACGGAGATACATAAATTTTGTTTCATTGACACCTCCCATCCTTCCCCTCGAAAAAATTTCTGGCTACGCCCCTGTCTCTTAGCATGGGGATTTGACTTGCTCTTTTCTCTCTCAGTGGACACGCAGCCCTCGATGGAGCAGAAATGGAAGAACGTTGGAAAGGGAAGTGGCGCTGAAAATGGAAGTAACGCTGGAAGAGGAGCTTCTCACGTTGACAAGGTACGCTGAGCTTTTACGTTTCAAGAGGCTTCTTACTATATTAGGTGTCCTGATGAAAAGAAAACTACAAAACAATACGAATACTTGCTCTCTATCTCCAAGGTTGTTGCTAAAAAAGATGAACTGCGAATATCTTTTGTGTGCTGTTGATCTATGATTTCGCAACTGCACACGAGAATATGCATCATAATAAGGGACTGAAGCTGTAGCAACACAAAAGGGAAAGCTCGTGTGCCACTGGTAACCATGGCGTTAATAAAAAAAAAGGTTCTATTCGCGGGTTCAGTAACACGCCATTATCCTCCTCCTCCTCCTCATCATCATCATAATTATCATTATTATTATTAATATTTGATCCGGATACGCAGAAAGAAGGAAGATGGGTGGAAAGAAGTAGGAAACAAAAATATGAGAACGCAGGCGTAAAAACAAATAGTCACGTTGAAGGGTGTTTATGTACATGGGGCTAAACGTGTCTTGTTCAAGAAAGCTAAAAACACGAGGCATCAGACGGTGCACATCCTTGAAAAGTTAATAGAACTTTATAAAGGCTAGACGTCACTGAAAGCAGACCTCGGCGCGGTGCTGATATGCCTTAAGGTGTTTCTTCTACTCGCAGGGGTTGTGCCAGCGAAAGCGCGGTGCAGGAGAAGCCGAAACAGAAGTACACCATTACTAGGAACCACACGGGCGAAGTGGGCGGCAAGGCCTTAACCACCCACACGAGGCTTGAACGTCATCTTGCAACACATGCCGAGAAAAAGCCGCATACCTGTCAGTGCTGCCCGGCCACTTTCGCGCAAACAGGGGATCTCTATAGGCACTTTATCACTCATACCGGAGAAAAACGTCACAGCTGTCCTAGATGCGGCAAAATGTTCACCAGGAAAGTGAGCGTCAGCAGGCACCTCCGCACACACACGGGCAAAAAGCCGTTCAAATGCAACCATTGCCCGGCCGAGTTCGCGGATCGTTACAACTTGACGCAACACTTGTTCGTGCACAGCGGCGAAAAGCAGTATAAGTGCGAAGACTGTGGCAGAAGGTTCGTGCGATGGTGGACCCTTTCGTGCCACAACAGGACGCACACCGGCGAGAAGCCGTTCTCATGCGATTCGTGTCCGACCGAGTTTTCCCTGAAGCGCACGTTGGTCACCCACAAGCTTACACACTCCGAAGAAAAGCCCTGGCAGTGTGACCTCTGCGACAAGACGTTCGCGCTAAAGCCCAACCTGAGGCGCCACTCCCGAGTCCATACTGGCGAGCGACCGTACGAATGCAACCTCTGTCCAGCCACATTTTCCAGCTAGTCCGCCTTTATTTACCACACGCGGGGGCACACCAGAGAAAATCCCTACGAGTGTGGCGCGTGCGGCTTGAGATTCCAGAAGAATGGCTACCTCAAGGTACACGTGATCAGAATCCATGGTGATCCAAGAGCTCGTGCGGGGGGGGGGGGGGGGGGCGGGGGCGTTGCCTTCCAGGATCCTCTCATCGCGGACCGGAAGCCTGAAGAGACCACCGGGAGAGCGTCAAAGGGTGGAGCCCGGAAAGAAGGTGAAGGCGCAAGTCAAGATCATCTGCACTGTAAAGGCTAATCGCACGTGATTGAGTAGCAGTGATTCTCAGATGTAGTCGTGTTAGTCTGGAGAAACGGGCTTTCCAATTGCTCTACGACGTGTTTGCAAAACGTGCACAGTGTGTTTTTTCTTTTGAATGCTAAAAATAAAGAATGTGTGGTGCGAATAATTTGATCGCATCAATGATATGTGCCTGTTATTTCATTTTTCATGACAAAAGACGAATCGAAAATTTTCGCTCACATTTGAACCATCCTTCTATATCAAACGGGCTTCAGTATGTCCGGACCCTCATTCAAAAACCTGAGATCGGTCAAGAATGGCACCACAACTGTGTGAAATCCTCGCTAATTATTCAGATTGTGAATTTATTGTCGTGATAGCCTTAAAGCGCTCGCATCGCCGAAAATCTGGTGTCGGCGTCGTTGGTTGCGAGCGAGAAATCCACATCTTGTCCGTTTCAATAATATGGACTTACGGCTTCGACTCAGATGGGTGTATAGTGACGCGTCTGTTTGGAGAGAGGGATAAACGTCTTTATTTATAAAGGCATAGAGAAGGAGGGCATGGGAGTAACTCCTAGTCTGGGGTCCCTAGTGTTGCGAAGCGCGCCTCCGACGACGTTACGAAGGGCGCCACGAATCTCACCGCTGCAACCACTGTTTCGAAAGACGGCGACACCAACACGGTCCCGAAGGCGCCACTGCTCCGAACTCCACAGGGAAGGTTACCAGCCGTTCGGTAGCGTAGGTTTCGCAGCTCGCGACTGCTTCTGCGCAGAGCTGATAGACGAGCGGACGAGACGACGGTGAGTTAAACAAGGTTTATGTACAGCATATATACAAAGGCGTTACAACTTCGGCACTGGGGCCGACAGCTTAGAGACCCGAAGAGCCGAGCTCTCCTCTCTAACACATAGGTCTGCTGCTTACACATAGCTCAACTCTCGCGACGCGCCGCAGGGCTTCTTTTATATGCACCGGGTGGATTCTTTGAGTAACCAAATGTCCAACCAGAAGCGTCGCTGGTCGTGAGGTCAGACTCCTCCAATGGGGTCGCCGCTGGGCCGCGTCATTCTTTCTCATCGAATCTGGAGCCGCTGCGTTGCACGTGGCTGCACCCAAGGACGAGTGACGTCACCACGCATTGCGTCAGACTCACCAGACAGGAAGGCGCCGGCTCACTGGCTGACGTGCCACGCTGCACGTGCGCGGCAGAAAGGCGCCGTCGCGTGATGACGCCATTGAGTTGTTCATCGCGTCAGGCGGGCTCGTGTGCTGGCCTTGACACAGATTTTCTTTTTCCGAGGCATGCACGTTCGCTGCAGACTCGCAGGCATAACAGCACCCCCGCCGCCAGACAATGCGCCGGAAAGACGAGCTGCTTCCACGTGGCTCGGATGTCAGGCGCGCTCGTTCGCCAGGTCCCTCCAGGTTCGCCTCCAGGGCCATGGGGAGAATGCAGCTCCAGACTCCGTTCCGGGAACATATCCCATTCTTGAGGACGGATCCCAGCTCCACTGGCTTGTCGCCACAACTTGTCGACCAGCTTCGCTCGTCCCTTCTGACGATCTTTGGTTTCAGCACTTGTCGATGGTTCTGCAACTTGTCAAGAACGGTTCGACAACAGACAACACACCACACAAGCAAGTGCCCTCGGTCACCCGACAGAACACCAGATAAAGTATAGTACAACATGTGCCTAGCCACGTGTCTATCGGAATTTCGTTCGCTTCACATCAAGAGGCACATGTGGGACACAAGACTCTTAAAATGACAACTCAAATTTTTACACGTACAATAACGTAACGAAATAGAATAGAACATAAGGTTGGCTCCTTGAGCTCATCCTGGACGAGAGCACTCAGCTAAGGCCGTGATGAGGACAAAATTTTGCCCCGAATCGCCAGCGCAAACTGAAAGGGGGAGAAGGTACTAGTTAGAACGCACGGTTCAATGCACCTGCATTAGCGTTTAGCTTTTCTTTTTTCTTTAGCGAACGTCAAAGTTGTGTTGTTGGAGTTTCATGCTCCACCTCAGTAACCGGCCACTTTTAGGTGACGATATCTATGCGGTACTAAGGGCTGCCCGTACTTGCGACGTTGCACATCTGTGTAACTACAATATGGAAGTCCAGATTTCTCATAAAAAGAAACATTCCTTCTCAGGTCCTCCTTCTCGACTTCACTTAACCTAGGCCCTAGGTTCAACTGCTCCAAGATTACCTCTGATTCCCTTTCGATTACCTCACTAGAACTCAAAATTTCTGCTCCCTCTTCCTCTGAAGCATTCAAAAGGAGATTTACAACCGCTTGACGTTGAACGTATGGTTTCATCAAGTCACTGTGGTAAATTTTGTTCGACCACCTTCCTAATTTCACTTCATAATTGATATCAGAAAGCTTCGATATTACTTTGGCGGGCCCTTCCCAATGAACCTCAAGCTTGTTTTTTTGGACGGCCGCAGGAGTATTACCTGACTTCCTACTTCAAAAGCGCGCTTCTTCACCGATTTGTCGTAGTACTCCTTCGACAACACTTGTGCAGCTTTCATGTGGCTTTCCACTAGCGCTTTAATCGAGAGGTCCTCACGCCGCTCTCGAATGAGCGTTTCTCGATCAACCCTCGACAGCTCACTCCAACTTTCCGCTACCAGTGAGAGCGTTGCATCCCTCTTGCTCTGACCCAATGGCGCCATGTCGTCTTCCCCTGCTACGGAAACCGCGCCGGTCGCTTCGGCGACGGGCCGCTCGAGTGACTGCTCACATGACTCACACGGAAAATTTCCTCTCTGCGGTTCCGTCGACTCGCCGCCAAGGTTACTTAAGGTTCACAGCATTGAACAAGATCAAGCTCCTGCGAAAGTTTCCGCGCTTGCGATCGCGTGAGGGCCATGTACGCTAAGTTGGGGAAGAACGATTTACCCTGCTCTTTGAGAGGCTGCTCTGAATTGTTAGAGAAAAGATAAGGAAAACGATCGGGAAGCGCGGCAGACACAGCCGCTTCGGTGCGAAGCTTACCGAACGGGCCTTCAATGACAACCGTAGCGATTGGTAAGCAAGCACTCTGCTCCTCGGCGACTTGCCTGATCCACGCGAATTCTCCGGTAAAGTCATCCGGAGACACCAATGAAAGATGGACAACATCCATGGTTGCCGCTGAGTCACGAAGTGCTCGACACGTTTTCCCATTGACACTAATTTCTTGGATATATGGCTCTAACAACCGCATGTTCTTTTCCGATGCTCGGATGGTTGCGAAAGCAAACTTTTGCTTACAGTTTATCGCGATGTGCCCTTCCTTTTTGCAGTTGTAGCAGATTCGCGGCTTCCGTTGATCAGGTTTCTTTGAAAAGCCCTTTTTCTTTTCATCCTTTTCTACGCGCACTGCCCTGCTATGCAACTTTCGGCGAGTATAATACTCCTCAGCTAACTAACTGCTGCCTTGTTTAGCTGTACTTCACCAAGTTTGTCCTGCAGCCAAAGCTTGAAATCCTCCTCGATGCAGCGGTAGAATTGCTCCAATGCCATGCATTCTACCGCTTTATCGTGGTCGTCATAAACACCTTCGCCCTTGAGCCATTCAATGAAATCGGCTTAAGACGAAACGCGAAGTCAACGTGTGACTCATTCCCCTTTTTAGCATACCGGAACCTTTGCCTGAAAGCCTCGGGTGACAACTTATAACATCTCAAGAGCACTTCCTTCACCTCGTCATAGCTCTCGAACGCTTCCCTCGACAAGCAAGTTATCGCGCCGGACACTTCGCCGGGAAGAAGAGCTAACAGGTTCTGTGCCCAAAGAGACCGCTCCAAAGTATTTCGCTCACAGACGTGTTCAAACTTGACGAGATACTTCGCCATGTCCTCGCCTACTACGAACGGTGGCAATTGGTCCCGAATTCTATAACCGCTGACCTGAATCGTCAGAAAAGCTACGCTAGGCGCCTGCGAACACTGTAGGATTGCCAATTCTATTCGTTTCAACTCGAGGCGCTCCTGTCTCTCGGCCTCCTCGCGGCGTTCTCGCCTTTCAGCTTCTTCACATTCACGAACTTCTCGCCTTTCAGCTTCTTCACGTTCACGAACTTCTCGCCTTTCCGCTTCTTCACGTTCGCGAACTCGCCTTTCAGCTTCTTCACGTTCGCGAACTTCTCGCATTTCAGCTGCTTCACGTTTGCGAGCTTCTACTTCGCGCCTTTCAGCTTCCTCGCGGCGTGCTTCGATATCCTCCCAGGCCTCATCGACTTCCTCAGCCGACACTCCCTCATCCTTCATGATCTCAAGGATTGCTTGCTTTCGTTTCGCACGGCCCAAAGTAATGCCGAGTTCCTCACAAATTTCGATGAGTTCCTTCACTTTAAGGTTCTCCATCGTTCATACTAGCCTCTTGCTGTTTGCCCCTGTTAAGAATTTACTTGCCGTACCCACTATAGGTCAACTAGCAAGACGCGCAAGCAATTTTTTACACTCCCGTGTTTACCCCCTCCGCATTATTTTGGTTTCAAAGCACTTTGACTTTGCATGAAACCATCAAAGCTCACTCTAATGCTTCACACAGCCCTTCTCTAAACTACTATAACCTGAGCTGGAGTAGTCTGGTGAACTGAGGGGAAAACATCAGGCACTCACCGCATCGATGTCGCTGACGCCGGCCGATCCCGCAGCTGCCAACCACTGTTGCGAAGCGCGCCTCCGACGACGTTACGAAGGGCGCCACGAATCTCACCGCT